TTCGCCTCCCCTCTCTGTCTATTCTATTCCCCCTCCTTCTACCTTTCCCTTTTCCCCCTCTGCTCACCTCTTCTTCCCAAGTCTTCCTCAAATTCACTCCTCCCCTCCCACTTTAAATCCTATGTCTGTCCCCTCCGACTCCCTCCTCTTTGTCCTTAAACTCCCCTATATTCTTCACTCCCTTATCCGCCTCCTCCTCTTCCCCCATCCCTTCTTTGTTCTCCGAGCCCCCTCTCCCATTCCCCTTTCTTCTTCAGGTCCTCTCTGTTTTCTCTTCCCCATCTCCCCTTTCTCAATATAAATACTAATAAATAATAATAATGATCAGAAAAAATAATAATGATAACAGTGATGATGAATGATGATGAATGATGACAATGATTATAATGATTTACCCAACACTAACTTCCATTTGAGTCATCATAAACAAAATGTCAAAGAGATTTAAAGTATTTTTATCTTAGAAAAGATTAATTTCTATTGATATCTAGTAAAGTAAGTAAAAAAAAAAGTAATGCACCTTTATCTTATCACCATAAAATATGGCAGTTTCCTCATTCCACTTAACAAAATCATTTAGCTCTAAGTTAAAGGAATTTTAGTCAATATAATCTTAAGGTGTTTCACACAATGTAAAATCATAATTTCCATTAATAGCCCTGATGCATATAATCATCAGCTGTAATCACAATTTCCCTTGTTCTTTTTGCTATTTACGTGCTTCATTTGAATACTCATTATTTTGGCTTCGAAAAATAAAGCAAATTGACTTAAATTGATCAGGTAGGAACCTATGTTTTGCATAGTTTGTCCATAGCAAACCCAAGCAAACATACATTATCAATCTTATCTCTATGAAATAGTACAAAAAATGTTGGAAAGATTGCATGAACATTTTTTTCCATCTCTGATACCTGTATAAAAGACATGAACTCTAACCTTAAAAATCAGATAACATGTATTAACTTTATACTGATTAGAATCACAAAAAACCTTGCCCAGCCAGAAACATCATAGTGATTTCATTATTCTTGCCTAACAAAAAGGGTAGAATCATCAAGATCACCACGCTTAAAGGCTTTAAGGGGGACATATTTCATTACTTTATTCACTTCATCAATTAGTTATGTAAAGCAAGCCACTTGCCGTAGAGGTTAAATTTCTCTACTTATGAAAAGGACTGCTCCATTCGAACCTATTTAACAATGTACATGTGGCATTATAATCAGTTGAGTACATTTTGTGAATTAGGACAATGTGCAAGCACCATATCTTACAGATATTCAGATATTCTAGTGTACCCAAACTTACTAAAAAAACTGTTTTTGCTGCATTTGGAATCTGTCATGCACTCTATGTACTATCTTCAAGATAATTATACAAAGATCATGCAATACTCACATGGCCACATGATACATATCCACAAGCAAAACCACTCTGTTTTCTTTTTTTCCTGCATTCTTCCATATCCACAACCAAACACCTATTCCAAATATCTATCATCCCATCTACTGACAGAAAAAAGTATAAATCCCCATGCTGAATATTGTTGCTTAAAAAAGTGACTTCACTGACAATTTTCTGCAGCAGTTTTAACTTATCCAACAGCTAGAGCTTTACTACACAAATTCTCATAAAATAATTATCTACTTTGAAATAGTAGTCAAAGTAAACCAATGAAACTTTCTTCCTATAAAGAAATTAGCAAACTTTGGGTTTGTTATGGCACTGACTTATCAATTTGTTAAAATTGCTATTGATTACATTTGTTTTAAAATTTATTACAAAAACAATCCTTATATCTACATTGTGTCTTTGTATTTCAATGTTCATTGTCTAATCATGACCATCACATAAAAAAAATTTGCAGGTGACGGGAACATGCTGTCATGGGAAAATCTGACAGAGAACCGAGGTAATGGGAACTTGCCACCATGAGAAATTTGGCTAAAAGCCAGTGTGATGGAGATGACTCGCCATAAGTGCACAAAGTTCTTAAGACTAAGTGGGCATTTAGCAATCGGCTTTTATGTTATTTCCATCAATAGATGAGTCTGTAGTGTACCATCTGTAAGCCATGACTGGAAGAATGCCAGCCCCAGGGAGGACACTTTTTCCATACTCATGATCTTATTCCTACCCACTGCAGCACAGGATGTATTAAAAAAAATTGGATATTATAAAAAAAAAAAAGCACAAATAACAAAGAGTTACTTATTGTTATTATTACTGCATTAAGTTATGGACTACCTAAAGGGAAGCTATGGAGTCTGAGCCACAAAAAGTCTATTACCATCTGGTTACCATCTGGATATAGTAAATCAGATGACAAATACTGTCATTAGAAAATGGCAAAAAAGCTAAAAACACTTATGCAGAAAAAGAGAAAATAACATTGCAAAGGGCATGAAGTCTCGTCTCCACACACGAGTGGCTGCTCAAGTAAGCCTCATGCCCATATTTTGGGTCATGTGATGGCAATGAAACATCCAGATCCAATAAATTAATAACCTAACCTAGCCTAGCCTATCCTCTAACCACAAGGCTACATCAAAAAAATTATATAAGCTACTTGTGTGACAAAATTTAACCTGTTGACACTTGTATACCATGTACATATGAACCATGTCCACTGTAATTTTAGTTTATCAATTTTATGTACACATCAAAGGGTCCACAAAAGTTAAGTCAATAAGGAGTGTGTTACTAGTCCTATGTCATCACCTTTATACTTGATTTTTGGAATTTGTTGTTGTTGTTGTTGTTATTGCTATTAGTTCTGATAATAACATTGCAATAATCCCATGGTCAATAGTAATAATAACAGGAGTAAAGACATTAATAGCATTAGAGTCTATTAGACCCCTTGGTAACTAAGTCCTTTCTGTGTAAACAAAATTCACAAAGTAAAACTATGGTGGACAGTGTAATTATTTGGGGCCAACTGGTTAAGCATATGCTTTGAAAAGAAAATTTATGACCTAACATCAGTTGGTCAATTTCACTGCTGTAACATAACCATGGAAATTACCAATTCAATGTGATTATGCTTTAGATTACAGCATGAGTGCATTCTAAAAGTACTTTATCAAAATATTTTATCATAATATCAAACAGGCATTTAGCAATTCCTACTGGAGCAGAGAACAAGAAACAAGAATAGTCTCCAAAGACTTCCCTGTACAATAACAAGAATTGCATTCCTAAGGCAGAGTGTTTGTAAATGAACATTGTTACTTGACAAAATATAGGGTTAATATTAGAAGCTACAAGTGCATTTGATGCAACTGTTGGCACTCAGGTAAAGGCTAATAAACCTCCATTACATATACCATGACAAGATAAAGCTTGCAGACCTTTATGGTGATTTAACTATACACAAGAAATAAGTCTACACTCTTATCATTCCATATATACTATGTGGATGTTTGCTGACCTTTGCTGAAGGATTAGAGCAAAGGCTGCAACAGTTCCTTAAGAATGTGCCACTATAATACCTGATTTAAAAGACTGCAGACCTCCCATTGCAAATAATATCAAGTTTCAGATTAATTTTGATAGAACATTTAATATCATTAACAGAAAACCTGAAAGCCACGATGGGTGTCTTCTTTACCAAACTCCTTCAAGATATAGTTTCTAGTTTGCATGTACTAACAAGAAACTACCAAGAAATTCCTCCAACAATACTAAATAAAGATAACCATACATACTTTTACATTTTCCTCTAGTTAATCTATCTATTTCTACTATAGCACAGGTCTTTCTCATATTCACATGCCTTTCCATTCCTGACTCCTATGTCCAATCATTAATTGCTAACAAAGATAATTAAACCAGATATCAAGCGAGGGAAATTCCACTAACAGATGGAAAACACACAGGCTCTCAAGTCACAAATATTTCATCACATTTTGCCATCATTACATGTGAGACACATTCACATGGCATAACCCAAGGTTCTCTTTCTCTCTCTCTCTCACAAATATTTGGTAAATCATGAAATGAGAACTGCACAGATATTAAGAAATTTAAGATGATGATGATAAAGAAAACCTAGGCTAAAGCAATACCATTACTTTGAAAAACAATCGGCAGAAAGCAAAAGCACGCCCAGAACCGCTTATCAAAGATACACTCGCAGTGATTAAAGAGCTCGCCGCAGTCTCTTTGCCTTTGATACTCCAAGCAAAAGGACAGCAAACCTCCTCCATGTACATACGTTAAGACAATGTTTGGGAACCTACGTCGTAATTAGCTGTCAAGTAACGAACCTGGACATGTTCAATCTTGCTAAATCTACAACGTGGAGGTTTGTTGGCCTCTGCCGGGATTTACAAAATGGGGATGGGAAATAACGTAAAAAAAAATTACATACCATGGTAAAGTAACAGACTTGAACAAACTTGACCAATTCTACACCACTAAGAACACAAAGAAAGGAAAAGGGGATAAAAAAATACACAAATATATGTATAAACACCCAACAAAACAACAAATACACTTATAACCAATAATACCAAATCAACATACGAAATACACGATAACCTTCCAAAACACAAGAGCAAATTAGCAAAAAATACGGATCGAAGCACTCGAGCCTCGCACTCACCCATCCGGAGAGAACTCGAGGTTGAAGACGCCGCCATGGCCTGTGAATCCCGTCTTGGGGTCGTGCTCGATGGGGTCCCAGAAGGTGCTGGGGATCATGGACGAGTACAAGGACCTCCTGATGCCGGAGTCCCAGCCTAAGGTCTTGCCCAGGCCCGTCTCCCTCCGCCTGAGCTCATAGTCGGGAAAGTAACTCCCGTGGATCCTTCCTGTCTTCACTTTGGGCATCTTGGAGGGCGTCCTCCTTCTCCTCCTCCTGCCAGGATCTCGCTCCCGCAAGGAACCTCGAAGTAGGACCCTCTTCTCTCTCCCCTTCGAGGAAATCAGGGAATTAGGATCCCCTCTCTCTCCTTCTCCCAGTAGGACCCCTCTCTTTCCCTCTCAAAGGA